CACTTTACACGTGTTAACTCATGTGATCCTTCTCTTAAGGATTAAGGTAAACAAAGGGTCTGATACAGGAGTTTATGAATCATGGATTAGGAACCCAGGCTAGGAGACTAGACACCAGAGAGCCAGGGATTGAGCCAGACTGACAGTTTTAAGCAACAGAGCATCAAAAACCCAGGCCATAGAGACTTGTCAAATGCAGCCTAGTGTCTAATTAATAGTCATAGGGCACAAGCAGTAAGCCTAGGAACTTGATCCTGAGGCACCTTCCAAGCCTCCTGCCCAGTGCCAGGGTGTGAGGAGGCCTCAGCTTGCAGACAAGAAGAAACACTGGAAGATCAGGTTGCCTCTTTCGATAAACTTCAAACTTACAGCCTCAGCTGTCACAGTAGAGTCCCAGGGTCCTCAACCAAACCATCTCATTGTTTAGAGAAGCAATGTGGCATAGTGGATCTCAAGTCAGAGAAATGGGGTTCAAACCCCTGCCTCTGTCACTATCTCTGGGACCTTGAACAAGTCTCAGAATCTCTCTGAGCCTCAGTTTCCTTACGGATAACGTGAAGGGTATGAACTAAACGGCCCCTAAGGTCCCTTCCAGTCCAAGACTGTGATCCTTTGATTCCCAGCCATTGGGCTTCGTGTTTTGATGGGTGAGAAGGTTGGACAGGACAATGAAAATTTAGCACAGGTGACTTGTGGAGGTTGGATAAAGGTTTCAGAATTAGAGGTCCCCCAGGCTTTGAGTGGCTCCTCTATCCAAATTATCTTGTATTTACTTTGCGTATATGTATTTACTTAAAGATGTCCACTTTGTTTCTTTTGAAAAAATGTAATTGCACTGACTCTGAGGACAGCAATGGCCAGTTTCATCTTTGGTTTTGTATCCCCAGCACATTTAACCTGTTGTGTGCTGAGGGGACAGCTGGGTGGTGCAGTGGATAGAGCACTGGGCCTGGCACACAGGAGGTGCTTGAGAAATGCTTGTTGATTAATTAATTGATGGGGAGAAAACATAATCTTCCAAGAGATTAATATAATACTATAACTGAAAACAAACTGTTGCCATCTCTGTCTAAAGAAGAAGCAGCCAGACAGCTGAACTGACCTCTATTCCATTCCAGTGATTATTCCCATACATCTTTGGAAAAGGTAAAATTTCCTCTAAACTATTAAGAGGCATTAAGGACATTGGTTAATGTCCTTTGGGGTGACTGATCTCACAAAGCTAAAGAGATTCAGAGATCTCCAGGTCTACCCCATAATCCTGTGTACTGTCCAGGGGAATGTGCTGCTTTATATTCATGAGTGAGGAAAGCCCCAACACTATACTACTGCTAGGGAGAAAGTAGATCACTCATGAGATGAGCTTTTTATGCTCTGTTGGGCACACTACACACATGTGTGTATGAGTGCATATGCCTCTGTCTATATCTGTATGGATTTATCACTACCCTTCCTAAAATGCAGTGCCATGATCTCATCAATCAGCAAACATTCATTATGGGCGTTATGTGCTAGGTATTGTTCTAAGTGGAACACCCTACCCTAGATGGGATCTGATCCGGGAACAATACAATGGAACTGTACTTGGTTTGTTCTGTACCTTGTACCTCTCATATTTGTCCTAAGATTGCAATTAGCTTTTGTGGCACCAGGGTTACTATTGACACATGGAGTTTGAAGTTTACTAGAAAACTTGAGCAGTTGACTTCTTGAATACCAGAATTGGACTCTCCTTACCTCTACCTCTTAGTTTGTCTGGCTTTCTTCAAGACTCAGCACAAATTCTACCTTCTGCAGGAAGCCTTTCCTGGTGCCCCAACCACTAGAGCCTTCTTATCTAAGGGTTTATTGTATCTGCTGTCTATTTATCTGGAATATGTTGATTTATATACATGCTGTCTCCCTCCATTAGAATGTAAGTTCCATGAGGGCAGAGACTTTTTTTTTTGTATCCCCAATACTTAACACGGTACCTGGCATATAATCAGCACTTACTAAATGTTCATTAATTGATTGGTCATTCGTTATGTGCAAAGAACATGGCTTGACCAGCCCTATATATGGAAAGATAGCTGGCAGTCTCTGCGGTATGAATGACAGGTAGGTTTCTTGGCACCTCTTAATTATGGTGGAAATTTTAATGATAGAGTCAGTCCTTTGGGTATTGGGTATTATGTCCATCCAGACAAAAAGAAAAACTATGTTGCCTACTATGATTAATGGACTTTCATCCAGGAACAAGGCCCTAGAGCGATGGGATATAAAGCAAATATATTTTGATGAGAGATGGTCAACAAGCATTCATTAAGCACCTACTATGTGTCAGGTACTATAATAAGCTCAAGGAATACAAATAAAAGCATTTAGACAGTCCCTGACTTCAAGGAATTTATATTCTAATAGGGAAAAACATAAAAGGAAGCAGAAAAGGAGGAGAGGAGGGAGGTTGAGAGAAGAGTTTGAGGTACCTAGCTTAGAAGCACTGTAGAAAAAGTCTGGGACAGTCAAGAGTGCAGCCTGGAGAAGAAGAGAGGTATAGGGCAGGGATTATTAAGCCTTTTTGTACCACAGATCCCTCAGATAGTCTGGTGAGGCCCATGGACCCTTCTTAGAAAAATGCATAGGATTACACAGTAAACCAATTATATTAAAATACATTTGTCAAAATAATTTTTTTTTTAAAAATTCAGGTTAAGAATGCCTATGGTCCCTTCTGGTTCTAAACAAATGGACAGTACTTCTGGTTGCTTTCACCCGGTGCCTTCTCTTTGCCTCTGTTACTTCCCTGACGTAAAGGCCTTCCCTGCAACCCAGAGAGTTTAGGTGGGAAGAGTATTAATGGGGCTGGAAATCTCTCCTCTAGGGATCTTTGGCATTGGAAGACAAATGGAAATGGTAGTGAGCTAGTACTCTGTATTCTTGTGAGTATCAGCTTGAATCTCTGCAAAAAGTTAACCCAAGCTCCACGTACATATGGTTTGCTTTTCACCCTCTTGTCTCAGATGCTGCATAAAGCTGTTGTGAGATTTCAAAACCATTGTGGTTTTTTGAGAGTGAAAGATCCTATTGTATGAAAGCTTCTGCTACATCTGCATTTCCTTTCTTCACAAATTATTAATCTTGTTCAAACCTTCCATCTCTCTCCCATGCTGAGCAGAGGGCTCAGCACATTTGTTGTTGTTCAGTAGTTCAGCTGTGTCCAACTCTGTGTGACCCCATTTGGAGTTTTCTTGGCAAAGACACTGGAGTGTTTTGCCATTTCCTTCTCCAGCTCATTTTACAGATGAGGAAACTGAGGCAAACAGAGTTAAGTGACTTGCTCAGGGTCACACAGGTAGTAAGTGTCTGAGGCCGTATTTAAACTCAGATCTTGCTGACTGCCGGCCTGGTGCTCTATCCACTGCCCCAGCTAGCTAACCCCTCAGCACATAATAGGTGCCTGATAAATGTTTATTAAAGATGAAATCAAAGGAAATAAAGATGAGCTTCAACTTCTGTAAGCTGCTGCCATCAGCAGTGAAGAGACTCAAATGCTTAAAAAAGTGAGATTGGTGTTTCCAAAGATCCTCCAGCACAAAAGTGCATCATGGGATAACAGTTTGAGAGCTGGAAGGGACCTTCAAGGCCATCTAGTCTAACCCACTCATTTTACAGATGAAGAAACTAAGGCCAAACAAGACGAAGTGACTTTCCAAAGATTACACAGGCAATAAACAGATGATTTGAACAGTTTCAGAGCTAGAAACACATGAGAAGATGCTTTACAGCAATTATTTTAAGATGCCATCTGAAAGAGGTTTCAGCTTAAACCTTTTTATAGCATCCAAATTTCTCTGAATTGTCTAAAAGTACAATTCTTCCCCGGCCAGTAAAAGGACAGAGGAATCAGTTCAAGGTTACAAAGTGGATCAGTTTCTCTTTCTTATTTTTGAGGCTTTTTTGTTTAAGACTCCTCATGGGGCATCTTTCCATTTCGTTGGAACCAGGAACATCCAGAAACCAAAATTCTTGAATGTTCAATCACTCTGCAAAGGAAGATATGTAAACTCAGCAGCTTTGGGCAATTGACCAAAGAGATCCTAGGGTCATAAATTTAGAGCTGGGCAGAACATTAGGGGTGATCTGGTTCAACCCTCTCATTTTGCAGGTGAAAGAACTAAAGCTCAGGGCTGAAGTGACTTCCACAAAGCAGTAAGTGGAAGTCAGGATTTGAACCCAGGTCTGCTGTCTCAAAATACAGAATTCTTTTTGCTATAAATAGCTATTTAACTCACAATCCTTTTGCTGCTTTGCTGATTGATCTTTTGACCATGGTCCTTTGACCATTATTGAAGTGAGGAATGACAAAATTAACTTGCCATCTAGAATGTTATAGAGACTACCAAATTAAAAATATTTTCCTGAATTTGGAGTTATCAATCCTTATTTTTTCATTTTTCAAAAGTGATACCTTCTGATGAAATCATATCAGGATGCAAATTTTAAAAAAATTCACCTCACATTTAAAATATTTAAAATTTATTCAACTTTATTTAAATGTTACTTAAACTACTCCATATTATCCTAAAGGTCCAAAGCCCATAGGCTTAGGTTTGTCAGTTGCACTTTCGTATGAATTAAGATAAAATCTCCCTAGGTATTTGCATTTAAAACTCTAGATCTATTTGTGAATTATAGACTTCACTACTAAAGGATGGAGGAAGAGAAGGGAAAGAGAGACCAAGCAAACTTTTCAATACTACTGACATTATTACTGGCTAAGTCAGGGCAAGTAATTAAGGTCTACCACAGAGAGATAATTACAACAGGATAGGCACAAGGACTAGCCTTCAACTTCTGTGGTATGAGGAACTCCCAGGTTAGCAGACTCCCTCCACCAATGCAAGTTGGTACCTTCTCTACAACTTATAGTCTTATGACTCAAGACTTTAGGAATGGAAAACCATCTAAGCCTAGGAATTGACATCACGTAATATTTACATGTGAACCTTGTTTTTCAGGGAAATCAACTTCTGCGTAATTAGCCAGTATGTGGACTATCTTGTAAATGAGCAAGGTGTGAAAAACATTTTTGGTAAGTCATCTTAGAATCACAATGTTGGATGGAATCTGGATCTTAGAGATTACCTAATCCAAATCCCTTCATTTTGGGAGAACTTACTCCGATTTCATTGATATAGGGGTACTCCCTTTACCAACATAGCTACCACCTGTTCTGCCAAGTGTAGAGTATTGCATATGGGAGGCATTAAGTGGTTAAGGACTTGGCCAGTCACACAGCCAATATATGTTAGAATCAGGGCTTGAACTCATGGTTTCCTGACATCAAGGCCAGCTCTCCTATCTGCTATCTTCATACTTCCTCTCCCAGCCCCCATCTAGAGGGGCTGACTTGCTTAAGTTCACATAATTATTTAATGGAAGATCTCAAGCTAGAGCTCAGTTTTCCTGCCATTTCATGCAATGCTTTCTTCCCCATTAGACTGTGAATCCCCTGAGAGCAGGGACTGTCTTTTACTGTTCTTTATGTCCCTGGTGTCTATTAGCATAGTACCTGACATATAATAGATGCTTAATAAATACTTGTTGATGGACAGACTTGACTTCATTTCTTGACACCATCTTTCAGACCATTTATACAATAAAAGCTGTGACTACATAGCACAAGCTGAAGCAATTCATTTGATCAGGGTAGACAAAGGAACTGCACAATTCTGGCCCCAAAGCCCTGAAGTCAAGAGCAGTTGAGCCACTGCACCTATAGGGTTTGGAGCCTGATAATGAAAAGCACCATTAGTTTCTCAATATTCATTTCCTTTCCAAATGGGCTGTGACTTTGTATGCTCTCTGGTTCCTTCTTGCATTTTCTTTCTTGGTGGTGGTTCTTCAGGAATTTAGGCAGGAGGACACATCTCTGAGTCATGCCTCGGAGCCCCCTAGAGACAGGATAATCCCAAGGGCTTAATCAGGGTATTTCAAAAATTTGGTTAATGGGGAATTATCCCGGGCTACATCCCCAAAAGTATAAAGGATCTTCAAGGATTTAACCCCAAACTCCAACCATAGAGGATGGGAGGCACGTCTGGCTTCCTCCTGCCGTGGATACACACATCTTATCCTCCTTCCTAAAACAAAGTATACTTTGAATATCCATGTCCTCTTGGAAAAACAAGAAGACTCTTACTTAGCCCTGCCTGTTTTATCAGCCCTCCAAGACTACAGTATAGGGAGAGGTACAGTGGACATTGTCATTAGCTTCTTCCTCCCATGGCCATTGACGGATACCCATGAATTATAGAGAAAATGTGAGTTATACTGTTGTCCTACCGCAGCTGACCATGAAAGATGATAGAGAGGTCTTCCATCTATGGCAGACATCAAGATCCTCATCAACTATATCTGCTTAGCATATTTCTTAGTATCTAGGGGCATAGACTTAGGTCAGCCTATCCCAGTTCTATATTTTACAAACAATAATAGGAGCTGACATTTATATGATACTTTTAAGGCACTTTACAAACACTTGAAATTATTTGAACTTTGTAGTTATTTGGGGGGTGCTGGTTAAACCCTGTATGTTTCATCTGCATTGGTTAAAGGATTGTATAGAGCTTCCTGGTTTCTCTGACTCAGCCTCTCATGTGTATTTGGAACAGTGAATGGTTCAACAGGAGAAGGCCTGTCACTGAGTGTCCCAGAGAGGCGACAACTTGCAGAAGAGTGGGTGACAAAAGGGCAGAATAAGTAAGTAGCTGTCCTGGGATCAAAAGGACCATTTGCTAAGTTGTTGTAGAATTTTTCTTTATGTGAAGCGCATTTTCTTTCTCCATCAGAGATTAGTCAATTTGTTGGAAAGAATCTTCCAGCTGCTTGCAGAGATATGTGAGTCACCAGCGCTTTGAAGTGGAAGGTCCCTCAGAGGCCATTTGGTCCAAGCTATGCCTAACCAAGAATTCCCTTTACACTATACTTAAGTGGTCTTCCAGGCTTGGCTTGAACCCCTAGTGAAAAGTTCCACTACCACCTAAGTAGCATATTCTAGTTTTGGCTAGCGCTGATCTTTGGGAAGATTTTCCTTCTAAGCCTAAATATAGCTCTGTGTAATTTCTACCCATTTCTTTTAGTTCTGCACACTGGATCTAGCCAGAACTGGCTATTTCATATGGTAATCTTCTAAATATTTGAAGGTAGATATCACGTACCCCCTAAGCCAATCTTCATATGGCACAGTCACCATCTTGACTGCCCTCCTACATGTTTTCTAGCTAATCAACATCCTTCCTAAAAAGTTGCTCCCATAACTGAACAGATGTGATCAGGACAAGATAAAAGTAGATGAACTTTTTGTGCTCTGGTGGCCACATTGTGCACATACGTGTGTGTGTGTATGTGTGTGTGTGTGTGTGTGTGTGTGTGAGCGCATATACCTGTGTCTGTGTCTGTATGAATTTATCACTACCCTTTCTAAAATTCAGTGCCATAATTTCATCAATCAACAAACACTCATTATGGGCGTTATGTGCTAGGTATTGTTCTAAGTGGAACACCCTACCCTAGATGGGATCTGATCCAGGAATAATGCAATGGAACTGTACTTGGATTGTTCTGTACATTGTACCTCTCAGATTTGTCCTCAGATTGCAATTAGCTTTTGAGGCACCAGGGTTACTATTGACACAAGAGTCTGAAGTTTACTAAAAAACTTGAGCAGCTGACTTCTTCACTTCCACGTTCCTGGGCACTGTCCTTTTCTTACTACAGCATAAGATTGCAACTAGCTTCCTACTGAGAAGTTAGCACTGTGAAACTCTCAGATTTTTTTTTTTAAATAAAATGTTGTGAAGTTCATTTTTTTAACCCAAATGTTAGATTTTACATTTATCCCCATTAAATTAAATCTTATTAAATTTGGTTCAATATTCTAAACTCTTCAGAATGTTTTGAAGCCTTATCCAAATCATCCAATGTGTGAGTTACCCCCCCACACACACACAAAACTTTATGTCAGCTGTAGATTTGATAATCAATAAACATTTATTAAGTGCCTACTACGTGCCAGGTACTGCTGCGGATACAAAAAGAGATAAAAGACAGTCCTTGACCTCAAGGATCTTACAATCTAATCTTGCCAACTACAACTATCCCCATTAGATTACAGATTCTTGGGGGCAAGGGCCATCTTCTTTTTTCTTTTTGTATTTGTATCCCCAGTGCTTAGCATAGAGCTTAATAAATGTTTAGTGACTGTTGACTAATGATTGATTATGCCTTCATCCAGGTGACGGCTAAAAGTGTTAAGTAGACAAGGCCAAGTACAAATACCTGAAACAGTTCACAAAGACCTCCTTCCAAGCTGACTTTGAACTATGAGTTCAAATCCCTGGAGTTGACCTAGGATCCTCTAATGATCCATTCATTCAATCAACTCTGAATCCAGTCACCTGTCCTATTATCTAGGCTGCAGGCTCTCCATCCTTTATACAAGCACAACAAGTATGATTTTCAACTTTATCTGTAGCACTCCCTTAATCTACCAGTTTAATCATCCTATAAAAATAAATTTTTAAAAAGAGTGCAGGTAATTCGACCTGTTCATGATGGATCTAGGTAATCACTACTTCCTTTCTGGATGTTTGCTAAGCATCTTTTTGGAAATACATTATAATTGTATAGATTTTCAGACATCAGATTTTGATGTATTGATCAGTTAAGATGATTTTTATCCCTCTTGTTTTTCTTTTTCTTTTTTTGTCTTTAAAAAATATTATTTGTTATGGGATGGCTCTCTGGAAGGAGGAGGAGGAGGAAGAGGAAGAGCAGATATGCTGAGGGAAGCTGTGATGTAAAAAAAAACCTAAAGTACATCAATAAAAATTTAATTTAAAATAGAAAAAAAGAAAAAGAATGCGTTATAAAATTTTGTAAGGAATTGTCATTTAGAAATCATCCTGAAGACTGCAGTCTATATTCTCTTACCTTTTAAAAACTGGGGCAGCTTTGCCCTTCACCAGCACAAAAGTATCTCTTACTTCTGCACAATTTCTTATCACAAGCTCTGTGATAATGGCTCGGTAATCACTTCTCCCAGTTCTTTCAGTATTGTGGTATGTAATTCATCTGGGTCTACTGGCGTAAATTCACCAAGGACAGCTAAGTATTCTTTCACTATCTCCCTACTGTCTTGGTTTTCAATTGCCTATTAGTCATCATTGTTCTATCCTTTCTAATCCAAAAATCATCCTCTTTGACAGAGAAAATAAAAGATTTGAGTCCTTTTGCTGTCTCTCTGCCATCTGTTAACATTCATTGTCTCCAACAGCCCTGGCCCTTCTTTGATCTTTCTCTTTTCCCCACAAGAGTTACCCCCAAAACACATTTTGTTGTCTTTTAAATTCCTAGCCAGCCTCAGTTCACTGATTCATTGACCCAGCATCCACTCAGTTTAGCATTCTTGACACTTCTCATCTACATGTCTTTTAAAAAAAAATCTGAGCAGTTAATTATTTCCACCTTTTCTTTTCATTTACATCAGTCTCTTTAAATAACTCCTCTTATTCTTCCCCTTCGAGATTGCTTTGTTTGTGCCTTCAGAATTTCATTCTTGAAGGCTTCCCACCCTCCTGGTCTGATTTTCTCTGTAAATGTTAGGGCAAAGGATTGGACCTGTCCTTTCTCAGAGCCTTCAACATTTCCTCCCCCAAATCTAGGTATATGTCAAACCATTATGACTGCCTTTCTTTTCCTCTATCATAAAGTCCAAGATGGAATAGTCAATGCCTGCCAAGGTGCTATTTCAGCTACCGGTTACCCCTTTTAGTGAGAATTGACCCCAGAATAGCAACTCCCTTGGTTATTTCCCTTGCCCTTTGAAGGGTGACATGGTCATTACAGCAAGGTGAGAAATGATTAGCTGCTCAGCTTTTGACTATGAAGGATAACTGAAGTCCCAACCAGTATCATATTGTGCCTCCGTGACGGGCTTGATTTTTGTTTCCACTTATTGGTTCAGTGGGAGATCATTGGATAGGAGGAAAAGGACTAGAATAGAAGGAGAATAAGAACAATTCACACGTATATGGAGCCTTAGTTTGCAAAGCATTTTCCTCACAATTATCCCCATGAGGTTGCACAAAGATTCCCATTTCGCGGATGAGGAAACTGAAGTGCTGTAAAGTTAACTGACTTGTTCATGCTCACCTGGTCAGCAGATGTCTGAGGCAGGATTGGAACCTAGCTTTCCTGATATTAAGTATTCTTTCCAGTACTCCAAGCTGCTTTTCAAGGAAGCAGCATAGTACAGTGGTAATCAATCAATTAAGGAGCCATTATTAAACACCTACTATATGTGAGGCACAGTGCTAGCCCCTGGCTCTAAACCCCACTTCTGACATTTACTACCTAGATGACCTTGGGCATGTCACTAAACTTCCTTGGCCTCAGATTCCCCCTCTGTAGCATGAGGGGTTGGACGTCCTCTGAGCTCCCTTATAGCTCCAACCCTAGGATTCAATGAAGGAAATATGAAAAAAATTCAAAAGATTTAGAAATTGTGAAGAGGCCCAGAGATTGAATTTGGGGGAGGGGAAATTGAGAGAACTAAAGAGAGATTGAAAGAGGAGGACTCTCAGGGCAAAGGAGAAGGTCTTGAGATGAAAACGAAGAGATCCAGTTAAAGGAAAAGGACTTGGAGAATTTGACCAGAAGGTGGGGCAGCAGGAGGAAGATGAGGACCTAGAAAAAAAGGAAGAGGAAGAAGGTGGTTTAACCAGGGAAGGGAAGTTAGATACGCCTGTCGGGGTGCTAGCGGCGGGTAAAGGGGAGCACACCTCCAGAGTTGAAGATGGTCTCTTTAGGGAGCCTGGTGCAGGAAAAGGAGGACTGAAAACAGTCCATCAGTCAACAAACATTTATTAAGCACCAGCTGTGTGCCAGGCACCATGCTAAGCAATGGGGATACAAAAACAAAAAAGTTTCTGACTTCAAGGAGCTTCCATTCTGTTGGAGAAAACAACAGTTACACATGGAATTATATATAAAATCAATGCAAAGTGATTTAGGGGGTCAGAAGAGGCAGCTGGGGTGGGAGAGAGCTAGAAAGGTCTCAAGTAGGTGATGGAACCTGAGCTGAGCTTTAAAGGAAAGAAAGGACTCTTAAGAGGTAGAGGTGAATTGGTAGTGTGTCCAACCCCGCCCCGCCCCCCTCCGCCCCAGCCACAAGAGATGTGTGCAAAGACATGATGGAGGGTAATGGTTGAGGAGCAGCAAATAGGAAAGTTTGGCTAAACTGAATAATATGTGAAGGGGGCAGTTATGCATAATAAGCCTGGAAAGATAGGTTGGGCCCAGGCTGTTGTGAAGGGCTTTCAATGCCAGACAGAAGAGTTTGCATTTTATCCTAGAAGTAATAAGAAGCCATTGCAGTTTCTTGAGCAAAGAAGGAGCCAAGGAGAAGCACAAAAGTGCTAAATCTGGGTAAAGCCCTGACTGTCATGGGCCATTCACTCTCTAAGTCTTCTCTCTCAGGATGATCCTAGGGGTGATCTCATTTACCTTTAGGACTCAATCTCTCTTCACAGTGGTATTCTCAGGGCTTTTTCGCTAACTTTATCCCACACTCAAGGAGACTGCTATCTGACCTAATCTCAAGGGCCATTTCACTGTGTGCTAACAGCCTAGTATGCAGGCTTTCCACCTTGTGAGCTGGAAGCAGGATCTGCGCTGCAGTCAGGCATGCTGGCATGGAG